GTAATAGCCATGGGGAATAGCGTTACATTTCTATTGCTGTGACTGTTCCGGTTAAAAAAAATCACAGTGATAAATCATCGTGATTTTGTCACGACTGTTACTTCCGTGACCTTGTTTTTAGTAGCAGTAGAGCTCCTTGTGAAAGAGCTCGTCCAGGGAAGTACTGCCACATTACCTATTTCTGCCGCCAAGCAGTAATGGTCACATTACTGTGTTCCGGTTGTGAAGGGTAAGGGTGCTGGTGAAATTACAGGCACATGAGACTTGTCAACTTATGTCTCAGGGTGACGGGCGCAGTGGCAGTGCCCCCAAGATCTTTGTAATTTAAAGCTCTTGGTGGCACTGCAACTGTTATGGGCAGGCGTGTAGCTTACCATCAGGCACACGACTTGTTCGTCCCGTTACTTAATGTCATAAAAAAAAAAAAAAAAAACCTTGTCACGCCTATAACTTACATCACGATATACGGTTTTAGCCAGCGGCTTCTTTCTAATACTTATAGCCGTTTTTTATAGAATGATTTAAGTTTTTACTCCCTGTGTATAAGTTTCAATTCCATTCACAAAATTTGATTTTGTATTTAATGTAATTTTGTTTGTTACTTATTTAATGCGAATCTTTGAATTGTTAAAAATGGCAATAAAGTGTAATGTAATTATATTTCTAGTAGAATACACAAAGTAGATAAATAGATAGATATAGATAGATAGATAGATAGATAAATATAAAATACCAAGTCTTCCTATAGTAACTAAAACAAATACACAAAAATATTTTACTTTGTTCATAAATAGGTTTATAATAACTGCTGCAGATTTTTTCATCCGCCCTTTCTAATAGTATAAGCACCTAAGACCCTTGTGAGTAAGCAAAGAAAGTCATCCTATTTCGATCACTCCCATCACCGAAATGGCCCGATTTGAAGAGAACTACAACAAGTGGCGCGCTCAGTCACCACTGAACGGTGATCGCGCATTATATAAAATTTTTTCATCGTGACGTTATTTATCACCCACCTCTACTCTGTAATGAATGTTGTCTCCCAATGTTGGGATGTACTAGTACAATATTGTGACATATTTTTGTAAGACGATGCATACCTACATGTAATTCTTTTTTTTAATTTAAATTTAATTCGGTTTTATAATTTTAACGAATGTTAATGTAGCTATGGGTTTATTCAACTTTAAGCAAGTCACTGGACACAATTAATAGGTAATCACCATTAAAATAAAGAACAATGCAATGGTTATATTCAACACTAAAGTACATAAGATTAGCCAAACTTTATATACCTGGTATTGCTTTACCAGCTCATTGAGGCAGGGGTACCTCTCGCTGGTGTATCTGAAGAACTTCGGAACACCCATTCTGAATGTTTATTTTCCAAAAAATCGCGATAAATATGGACTCTTGTCCCTGTTTGTTGTCACTAACCTGATTAACAGGTTAAACTGTTTAGCACTTGTTATCACACACTCAGGTATCCAATATCAATTACCATCGTCTGTATAACTCCTTTCAGCAGTTCTAAATGAACAAATTTAAGAGATTGGATCAAAAAACAGTAATTTTCGACATCGTTGGGGGTGATTTAGGGATGGTGTGTAAACAACAAATCGATTATATTTAGTTATGTAATCGATAAAATATATTGACAATAGGTATTATGGTACTAATGGTACGGTTCCTATAATAAATGTCAATACCTAAATTAAGATAAGAAAACTTTTCTTGGTCCACCACTGAGATCGACATTCATACTACAGTATGAAATCGAGTACAGTAACAAATCGACACGGATCTGCAATCGCTACTGACAATTCAATTTTCTTATCTATGATAGGGCACACAACGCTGTTTTGCACAAAGAGTACTTCGATTTTGGATTTGAAATCCGTTACACTGCAAATTACCACCTCTTTACATTTTCGTAACACTTAACAGCTATAATATTTTTAAATGTAATATGCATAAAATTACACACAAAAAATAACAAACATTGTGTTTTTGACCTATTTTAGAATGAAATTCTTCATAGCTATCTGTCCAAAAAATATTATTCAATTGTAATGTATTCATTCGCTTCAAAATTACAATGTTAGAGAAAATGAAATAAGGTAACCAAGTCTTAATAATACGTAAACATCTAATTACTACTTTTTCAATATTTTTTCAGAGAGTGTAAATCAGAAGAGTTACTGCAATACAAAGTACTAAAAAACGTGGAATTACGTCTATTTGCTAAGTTTTATTGAAATATCCCCTAGCTCGCCACTACACAGGACTTGACACAAGAGATAATAAAAATCGGTTCTCACTACTCAAAGTATACTGAGAGAAAAACGCCTTGAATTGGAGAAATAGCAAAATCAACCATTAAAGTAATTGCTCCTAAATTAAAGTTAGGCGCCATTTATAAAAATGAATCTTCATGCGTGAACAGCCACCCTTCGAGGTGGATGATTTTCTTCAAAATGAAATGGAACCACTATGGAAGTACCCCCTTTCCAACAAAAAAAGAATCATGAAAAAATTTTTTTTTTTTAAAGTGTTCTTTTTTAAATTTAAATTCTCCTAAACAGTTAACATAAAAAGATTTGGCTTAAAGTTCACAAAAAAACTCAAACGAAAATTATTTTTCTCCTGAACTAGATAGATGGCAGCACGATAGATCTACCAGTAAGTCGTAAACAGCATTGTCTTCTCCAATTCCCCATTCCTAACTAGATTTTTGCTACTCTATATTGTTTATGAATGTTGTGTTTTGGCACAGATAGAAAACAGGCCCTATAAATAAAGGAACGTTCGTAGAGGTAGTTCCGTGCCCCGTGACAGCACGTTGGTGGCGCTAGTGTACCGAATAGTGACGCGCCGCAAACCTTTATGGATCGGTTACTATTAGTGATGTCCTGTATCGCACTTTTACGGTAAAAATTACGGTTTCATCGGTCCTAGTTACTTTTTCATATTGCTAATGTTTTGTGGTTTAAAATAAAATACTGTATTTTCAGTTATATCTGTTTATTAATAACGAAAGCTACTACCGTTTCGTAAAGGTGTTAACGCATGGGAGAAGAAACGGCGAAAGAAACTCCCAGCAACTCATCTTTTGAATTTAACAATTAATGAATTATAACAAAACACAATTATTAAACAAAAGGTTCCTCGGCGGATTAGAGCACATAAGTCAAAAACCAACATCATTCATTTATAGTAATATATCTACCGACTTAACACGACGTCTAATTATTTTTTACTTTAATTTACAACTTACATTCTAGTGGCGTTTTTTTCAGATTTATCATTCTCTTCGCATTTTCCAACATTAGAAACAACAAGAAAATATATAATTATATATCAAAAGATTTGTAGTGAAGTAAACATAACGATCAGTTTTTTTTAAGTTATCGAACTCACAGTAGTAATTCTAAAAATCGTTTATGCAAAATTCGATACACCAACAAAATTATTATATGTTAAATGCGGAAAAATCACTGGAAAAGTCACTAAATCCTTGACAACACCGAGAAATCACATTATCGTGTCATATTGTCGTATTAAACCATCGAGCATGTTAAACTAAGTAACATCACTTTTATTTTTGTCAGCAGTGGTGCATCATAAGTATGATCTCCCGCTGTCCGAACAGCTAAAATGTAAGAAAAATAACTTATAAGTAATATCTTATTAATATAATAAATGTATAAGTAAGTATCTGTAGCCACCAACCCACTAAATACTTTCAGACAGTTACAGGACAAGTGGCTTTTCGACATGCTATTTCGACTTCTGAGAATAATGTAGGCCATGAGAAAGGCACTCTTTTATCATCGTAAAATTTATTAAAGTTTTTACTACTAAAAAAACTTATTATAACAATAAATTTAACACGTCAATTTATTTTAAATAATTTACATAATTTCATTCCAAGAGTTGCCGATGATTTATTAAATTGTTAGACATATTTCATTTTTAATGTTTTTTGTAGACATGGGGAATAGCGTTACATTTCTATCGCCGTGACTGTCGTTCCGGTTCCAAAAAAATCACAGTGATAAATCATCGTGATTTTGTCACGACTGTTACTTCCGTGACCTTATCACGCCTATAACTTACTTCACGATATACGGTTTTAGCCAGCGGTTTCTTTATAATACTTATAGCCGTTTTTTATAGAATTATTTAAGTTTTTACTCCCTTTGTAATAAGTTTCAATTACATTCAAAAAGTTGATTTTGTATTTAATGTAATTTTGTTTGTTACTTATTTAATGCGAATCTTTGGATTGTTAAAAATAGCAATAAAGTGTAATGTAATTATATTTCTAGTAGAATACACAAAGTAGATTATACATAAATATAAAATACCAACTCTTCCTATAATAAAACAAATATACAAAAATATTTTACTTTGTTCATAAATAAGTTTATAATAACTGCTGCAGATTTTTTTCATCCACCTTTTCTAGTAGTAATAAGCACCTACGACACTTGTGAGTGAGCAAAGAAAGTCATCCTATTTCGATCACTCCCATCGCCGAAATGGCCCGATTTTAAGAGAACTACAACGAGTTGCGCGCTCAGTCACCACGGAACGGAGATCGCGCATTATATAAAATACGTATGTCGTGATGTGAGTGACGGGGATAGCTATTGGAACGGAGGAACACCTATGTGACTTTGAACCGTCGTCGTTCCTTCGGAACGAGTCACAGTGATACTGTTTGACGGCGAATCTTCGCGATTTTTTCTCCGTGACGTTATTTATCACCCACCCCTAGTTTTTTGTGTCAAACGCTTGTCAAACGCCGTGGGCCTCGTACGTCCAATTAAATAAGACCTCCATACCCAGTACGTAAGTTTGTTATTTAGGTTCTGAATAAAGTGGATGATGAGGCTGATCTTCTATGGTCGGCTCAAATACTGAAGTGTTTCCGTAGCGTGGTGTAGTTATTGTTTTGTGATTTTCATCACAAAATAATAAGAAATACTACGTTAGTTTCCATTACCTTTTTCACGAATATTTTAAAATAAATAATTATAGCAACAAGGAAAACCATTGTAACCTACTACAGTAAATAAAACTAGATAAAACCATTTAAATAACCTTCACGTTTACATAAGTTTTTGCAAATAATTTACGTCTACAGACGTAATCAAGGGAATAATATGGATAATGACGAACTAGGTAACGAGTTGGTGCGGCTGGAAGGTGGATTTTTAGTCGATGAGGAGACTTATGTTGTGAATTCTGACGACGTTTTAGGTAAGACCCAAAAATATTCACCACGTCATATTATTATTTGTTTGCATTAGTCGTGTTTCCATTTTTTTATTCGTGCATTATTGTAGTCTTGTTTCCGTTTATAAATTCGTGAATTGTTCCAGAACAAGAGGAGAACAATTCCGATTCAAATTGCGGCAAGAACGTCCCTCTTAGAGAACAGGACAGATTCCTACCTATTGCCAATATTGCTAAAATTATGAAAAGGGCCATTCCTGAGAATGGAAAGGTAAGAACATTTATTATTGTTTATGTCATATAAATTTCTAAAACATAATAACTTATTTATCAGCAAGTAATTTTGCTTTATTCTTATTTATTCATTTTTATTTTGAAATATTTTAAATACTACTAGAAATACGTTAACGATAATGATACAATTATTATAAAATCCACTGCATAGTTTTCCTTTCTAGTACTTAGCATTACATTCAATTTGTTATTGACTTTAAATAACACTTGTTATATCATGTTTTAAAGTACCTTTAAGAAAAAAATGTCTAATCAGATACATAGTCTGGATCCTGTACTGGAATTGTTTTAGTCCAATCTTTTAAAATGCTTTTGAATTTTAAATTCTCCACTCTTACTCACAAAGCATTTTTTTTGGAAGAATGTGTATGGTAAAACCTCTCAGCATAACCTAAGCCAATCTTAGGCACTCCGGAGCTAACATATGCCATTGCAAGAGGAGTTTAAAAAAATTGAAGCAAAGAAAATGCTGCAATTTAATTCTGTTGGTGTTGGCTCTGAGTTTTAATTATAGTCTGTCTTTTGTGAAGACCGAATAAAATTACAGTTCATTGCGCAAAAATGTTGGCCGCTTGCAAGCAGCTAGTGATTGCAGTCGAGAAACATTTTAGTGACCATCACCTGAATATTGGTCATGCTTATGGAATAAATGAGTCATCCTCAACCTCGATAAGTTCATACATGCATACACTGTATTTAGAACTATGTTTATGAAAAATAAATAGAGGAGACATTTCAAAGTTTTTCATCTATCAAACCTGGCTAATTTTGTTAAAATGAATATGAAATAAAATTGATCTCGATACTAGTAGTCAAACTGTCAAAATAAGAATAAAGAAGGCAACAATGCAATTAGTAATTATTATAATGTCATAACATTCACAATTTAGTCGTTTTTGGCAAAATTTTATCTTCTTTCACAATCTATAGATGAAACTGTCAACAACAACTATTAACTACTACATAACTATTTAAATTTTATGAAGGCTGGCAACTCTACATACACACATCAAAAAAAGTTTGCGATCACTTCGAAAAACTGAAATCTTTTTTGTTATTGTAGATTATATTATGATTTTTTCTTCCTTTTAGATTCTTTATTTAAAAATAAATTAGAATTCAATTGTTTTTTCATATAAAAATGCTTTCAGTCCTAGCTTACACTCATTCAGAAATCTGATTTAGTCAATTATAAGCGATTCAAGATATTTTTCGTGGAAAGTTGTGATTGAAAAAATGCCAAGAGGATTATCAGAGGTTTTACGAGCTAGAATAGTAACTTTGAGGGAAGAAGGATACACCACGAGAGTAATAGCACGCAGACTTCCTATATCCCAATCCTGTGTCGTGGCTACGTTGCAGAGGTATCACGGAATGGGAAATTTAGCTGACCGACCCCGCAGCGGTCGCCCAACTGTTTTGACAGCTGCCCAAAAGCGCTATATTAGATTGCTGGCAGCCCGTGATCCAACAATCAACGCTACTAAAATAAAAGCAGAAGTTAGGGCCGCCTCTGGGCTTGAAGTTAGCACGCAGACCGTTCGCAATTGCTTGCACCAGGCTGGATTACGAGCACGGAGGTCTTGGCGAGCTCCGCTCAATTCCCGGCAACGTCAACAACGAAGATTGCAGTGGGCTAGACTTCGGCAAAATGAAGAAGGTGAGGACGAAAACATTTGGCAAAACTGTCTCTTCGTTGACGAATCCCGAATCAGCACTCATCCAGATAACCGACGTGTCCGTGTCTGGAGAAGACCAGGCGACCGTGAAAGACAAAGAACTGCCACTGGAACAGTTCAGCAAGGCGGAAAATCGGTGTCCTTTTGGGGTGGCATTATGATTGGAGCTAGAACGCCTTTGATCCAGTATCGGGGCTTCATGACAGCAGACATGTACAAAGCAGTTGCTATTGATGATATCGTCAGACCATTCCGAGTAAACCATGGGCACCAATTTGTACTGGTCGATGATAATGCGCCCGCACATCGAGCTCAACGAGTCAATGTTGCTCTACAAGAATACGATATCACACGATTAGACTGGCCTGCCGGCTCGCCCGACTTAAACCCAATAGAGCATGCGTGGGATGCTCTTAAACGAGCAGTATGGAACCGTGAGCCACGTCCCCAGACAGTTCCAGAGCTCAGGGAAGCCGCTATTGAAGAATGGGATAGGTTACCCCAGGAAATGCTGGATAACTTGATCCTCAGCATGCCCAGGAGGATCTTCGCATGTATTCGAGCCATGGGAGGAGTTATTTTATATTGAATTCACACCTTTTAATAATAAATTGTTGTTTAAGTTTAATTAAACAGTCTTTTTCTTTCTATGAAATTTCTATCACTATTACATTATGATTAATGGCTCAATTTTTTAAAATAAATAATAAAAAATAGTTTTATATTTTAATTTCAAACAGGGTATTCCTATTTAAAGAAAGCATACAACATAGATTTTTTCTTGATAAAGTTAAATTTAAAGAATTATAGGAGCTTATGCTATTGATCGCAAACTTTTTTTGATGTGTGTATGTCGTTTTAATCCACCTGCAAAAAAGACACGACTATAGTGGTATTCATAAATCGGCTGCTAGCCGCAGCTATAAATGTCCCTATACTAAGCTACGTTGTAGTAATAATGACATATAAGTATAATGTGTAATAAATTTGCAGATAGCGAAGGATGCTCGCGAGTGCGTACAAGAATGCATATCTGAGTTCATATCATTTGTCACAAGCGAGGCCAGTGACCGATGCCAGGTGGAGAAGCGGAAAACTATCAATGGAGAAGATGTTCTATTCGCCTTGAGCACCCTCGGTTTTGATAACTATGTTGAGCCTCTAAAACTGTATTTGAAGAAGTATAGGGAAATTGTTTTATCACCTGTAAGTTTTACATTATTACAAAAATATGAAGGGTATTTGAAAAAAAAAATCATGGTTTTTCAATTTCTTACATTTCTGATTTCTATTTCTATCAGATACTAAATTCAGACAGAGAATAATTGTCCCGAGATATTAGCAAAATAAAGGAAACATACACAGAAAGCATGATTTTGGTAAAAATTTGAAATTAATCAGGATCCTAGATGTATGATTGATAACCATGTTTCTGCCCCTGTAGTCTTCATATGCTTGATTATAATATTAATTACCTAGACTGATCTCGAAGTGTTTCAAGCAGAGATGGATGAAATGGTCCAACCTGTGAATAGATGATCAGTCTGGTGTCCTGAGGACACTGTTGGTAAGTTGGTAAGGTGGTGACAAAATAGATTAATATAATCGCTGTTTCATTTGTATTAAAGTACGAAATTACTTGTTACCCTAAATGCCTTCATCTAAAAAAATCCTAAAATGCGGCTTTAATTGTTCTTGCTGGGAATGCTTTAACAACAAACTAAAAATACTAATTTCTTGTTCCAGGTCACTATCAATAAACTCAATAAAACTATAGTGCTATACAATGGTAAGTACTATGTATCTTTATCCTTTATCTTATAAACCACTATGTAGAAAATAGTCTGTGCAGCAGGTTTTGAAATAGTTTATCGGATTTTAGTAAACATGACTAGTAGACATTGACGTATTTAGCAGTTGCGGTTGCTGCAATACTGAACCTGCTGCGAGTTGGACTGTATCAAAGTTTCTATACTAAATTGTTTGCTTTCAAAATAAATATTCACTGCCAGATTTTAATCACGGAGAATATTCTAGAGTTATTTCTAAGTATGACAGAATATTTGTTTTTTTGCACTAATTTCTTATTCCAATGAAAAAATATATACTTACCGTCAAAGACGAAATTTCAATAATTTTGAATACACCGTGACATGGCCAACATTTCTATATTTCTGCCAAATTCCAATCTCTGCCGTCAAGCAGTAATGTGAGCATTACTGCGTAGCGGTTTTGAAGGGCGCTGGTGAACCTGCAGGACCATGAGACTTGTCGATTTTATCTCTTTGAGTGACGGGTGCGAAGCATTGTTCCTCATATATTTGCGATTTCATGCTCTTTGACACTGCAACTGTTATAGACAGATGTGTCGCTTACCACCAGTCGCATATGTGCTCGCGCCACTTCACAAAAATGTCCATTTTCTCCTGCCATTGTCAGAGACGCCATAACATATTCTAAGTAATATATGTGTATATATTCTTATGATGGCACTTCACATGGCTAGTTGTATTTGCGTATTTGATATATTTGGCAAACAATCACCGTCTGTGGATGGTATATGTCACAAAGTATTTCCCTTGTGTATATTCGACAAATACAGCAAACACCAAACTCGCGTTACCGCGCGCTGGTCGATATCTCAACGCCCATCAAAGGAGCCAAATAGGCAAGTAAACCGTCCACACTTTGGTCATATTCATTATTTTATTATTTGGCTCCATGTGGAGACGGTCATTATTGTCAGTGTTTGCATGTTTATCTGTACGTCATATATTTTTCCAATCACATCAAACCCCAATAGCGAATACAAGTAGCCATGTGAAGTGCCGCCATTAGCTCTAAAATGAAACTAATTTTGTCAATTTTTCAGAGGAAGGAACCCATGGATGCATCACACCGGATGACCACGATGGTCAATCGGAAACGGTCATTTATACGTATAGTAGAGGTAACTCCGTGTTCGATAATCAATAGTAATATTCATGCTTTCGGACCATTTTCGGACACAAAGAAGAGGTGTTTATCCCAGTGTAAGAGGCATATTGCATAAGACGCTATGCAGACATTGTTCTTTTTGTGGACGCAGATCTTAAAATCATATTCTACACGAAGTAGACAGCTACGCGCACAAATACGAGTGTTATTCCGTAGCGCCTAGAAGCGTAGACGTTGCAAGCCACCGTCGTCGCTACGTCATCACCGCGATACCGTAGGGCGTCACTGGTATTTAGTGACGACGTTAAATATCGTTCGCTAAACGCGTTTGGTATTTAGCGAACGACACCTGACATCAACGCGGTGGCTATCGCTGGTACTTATATAGTGACTACGTCAAGATATCGTTCATTAAAACGCCAACTTTAATGCCGCTTGTGTGATATGACTCATTATAAAATTGAAGACAGTGTGGTATTTAAATTGTTTCCAGATTCAAAATGTGAAAGTGAATATAAGTTAATTGTAACATACAGGATAAGGTTTTTAGAGAAAAGAATTTTCGTATAAGAATTAATGTTTGTATATTTTAAGTAATTTTAATTTAAAATAAAAATAGTTATATATTTCATTAATTAATTTGATTTAATAAATTTCTACATAAGTTTCATATACTCTCCTATAATATTGATTCTATTCTTGTCTAAAAAGAACAATGTAAATGGACGGACTATAAAACACTTACACTTAGACCAAAGTTTCAAGAAAAACTTTGTACTAATACCTACATCTTATAATAATAAACTGGGGCATTCCCTGTACTATGAGTACCAGAACATCGAAATTAACTCAGGGGCGTTACCCAAAACGCACAGATCCAATTCAGAAAAGTTCGTTTCCACCATTTCCACGAAGCAGTCGCTTTTCAAGTCCATGCCTAAACAAAATATATAAACGCGCGCAAATAAAATAAAAGGGCGCGTTCCCATTATGTCGTAACGTTTTATTTATCGTTGGACGACTGTCGCGTCTAGCCTGTTCCCATATCATGACTATCTGTCGTGACTGTGTTCTGGACGTTTATTTTATCGTTGAACGACTGTTGTGTCTAGCTGTTCCCACTAGATCGTGACGGCAATTTATCGGTTCACAGCAGCCGCCTTGTCGTTTGCACGACAGAATCGTTTGAAGCTACGATTATCTGTCGTCGCATTTTTATCGTGACGATTTATTTATCGTCGGATGATTGTCGTTCTAGCTCTTCGCATTGTAACGACATTCTTGTCGTCGTAACGTCTAAAAAGTCGTGAACGACAGTTAATCGTGTTGTTCTATGTGTATGTCTTCATACAAGCTACGACACTTTAAACTACACGACTATCTGCCGTCACGACAAAATGGGAACGCGCCCTATTGTTTTTCCTAAAATTCTGACGGATAATTAGTTCTATTCTCGAAACTTATCGATGATATAACTGGGCAGCGGTATGAGATACAAGAACTTATTCAATACCATCATTCCAGCTGAAAAGGCAAACGCTATACCCAAATTGAAATCCATGTTAAAATCACCCGACAGGTATATATCCCCGTTGAAATTCTTAGCTGTAAAACGTTCAGTAAGAAACGCTTTGCCACTCGCGTACCGGCAGTTCGCATTTGAATTCGTATTCAGATTTGACGACGTTTGAATGAGACTAGTTATAGACGTGCAGTTTTCTGTGTCGCTGTAAGGCAGAATGTTAAATGTGGGCTGTTTGAATATGTTTCTGTGAAGGAATATTGATGCGTAACGCGTGTGCGTTATGTAGGTTATGTAGAAAAGCCATTCTTCGAAACCTTTGTAGGACCTGTAATGGAAATTCGCTATTAATACTTTTGATTTCTTTTTGTATTAGGCTCAACTACGAAGGTAGTGTGGTGGTGGCCTTTGTTTCAACAACCAATGGTATTTCGTTATTGGGACATCTGTTTCCCGATTGATTTTTGTTTAGTGACGGCATTGGTTTCAAAGTGCGATGTATACTGCTAGGGTTTCATTTGCGGCATTATAAAAATGTAATATGGATCAGCTTATTACTTCGACACTGGAAAGGTAACATGTGTTAGGTGCATTGTGTTATATGGAAAAGCTGAAACTTTCTAGTTTACCATATAACAAATAAAATCAGAGTTACATTTTTTTTACTAAAAAAAATTACTTTAAATAGCTCTCCTGTAATATTTTCCAAATGCACGTTAGACGTTTTACATTTCCAGGGTCGACTTCTATTTTTATTTCTTAATTCCTAAACATATAATTTTCTCTCAAAAGTCTGCGAACTTTTGTACCGAAATTACTTTATTTGAATTGTGTAACGTGCAAACTAGATAGGATGCGGGAATTCTCGAAATTGCGCAAGAATTCTCCGGAAAACGCTCGACTTGTTCTTTGACTCGTATCTAGTTTGTACGTAACGATACGAGTTGACATAAAGTTCATTAAGCTATGGTTATATTAATTATTTTCCATTTCGTTCGTGACATTGTAAATTGAGCCCAAAGAGACTGGTTATATGATTTAATTCCACACAATTCGGAAAATAACAACTGATTTACGAAGTTCAGACAGTTATATTCTGCGAATAGATAGTTCTGTAAAATTTTTTTATTGGTACTCACCTCAAAACACCACTAGCAAGCATTACGTAAATGCATGTGAGGTAAATATTGACCATAGCGGCAATAAGACCGTTCTTGACGAACATCATGACGGCGATAGCCTGCTGCTCAGCATATATGTAGCACGACCATAGCACTAGAGAGAAGTATAAGTAATCCGTGCTTTCCGTTATATCTGATATAATCCTGAAAACAATAAATAGTAAACTTTGATCATTGTTCATAGCTGTTTTTTTCCAGTTGGTACATATTTGAGTCTACCAGTGCAAAAATGGTATTAACCGTGAAATGAAGGCATATAGATAGATTTAAAATTAGTCCAATTCATTTCATGTATCATATTATGACCAGTATACAAATTTTCTTTTACGCATGAAAATAGCATCTAAATATATGTAATATTTATGTACTTTAGTGTCATCTAAAGGATAGTTTCCCAAAGTGGTCTCTACTGCTCCCCAGTGGGCGCTGAACAGTCCTAGAGGTAGGTAGGGGCCTCAGAAGCAACAGGGGTTGATGCTCTCCAGGGAGTGCAACCACATTTGAAAAACAAAACCTGAATTATCGATATTTTTGTGATTTTTTGTGTAATTTAATATAAAATATACGAGTGATGCCTAAAGAAATTAGTTTTAAAAATTATAAAATTTATTATTTGTTACAGGTATCGATTTTTTCAAAGTGTTCACCATGAACACGTATACACTTTTCCATTCGTCTAAACCACTTGAAAATATCGATGACCACTCTTCTTTAGACATCTCTGAAATCTCTAAGTTATAAGCAGCCAAGACATCTTTGCTCAAACCGCTTGCTTTTTAATTTTTCTTTAATTTTTGGAAAGAGGTAAAAATCACAAGGTGCTAAGTCAGGGGAATATGGCGGGTGGGGCAGGAAAGATACATTTTTTTAATGAAAATAGTCGAGCGTTCTAGCAGAAGTGTGCCTCCGCACACGGTGTTGTCGTGATGCCAGAGTAGGTGCTGGATTCTTGACTTCGGCCGGTTGTCACACCAAGCTGACAACACTTTTAGGGCACAAACTGCTATATACCATTCGGAGTTAATTGTCCTTTGATTCTCTAGCACTACAGTAGCAACGGGTCCCGTCATGCAGAAAAATGAGGCGCTCATTTGTTTCTGTGTGCTTCGTGTACGACGAAATTTCGTTGGCGTCGGCTCATCTTCAAAGCAAACAAAGCGACAGTCCACTGTATGGTGATACAGTGGACTGTCGCTTTGTTTCAGGATCATAGTTATATACTTATATAACCATGTTTTGTCACCTGTCAGTATATCATAAACGTTATTTTTCTCGCCAGCGTCGAATTTATCTATCATAAATTTTTTCTTTTTTCTGCGTTTTTTCTGCTCATCGTTAAGTTTGTGCGGAACCCATCTCGAACAACGCTTATGGAGAGATAGTTGTCCGTGAATAATAGTTTGCGATGCTGCTGATCCAATGCCCAGTTCTCGCTCAAGCTCTACACATGTAGTTCGTCGGTTTTCACGAATTACTTTTTCGACAGCTTGAACGTTTTCTTGAGTAGCCGCGGTTGGCGGCCGACCCGACTTCGCCTCATCGTCAAAGCTTCCCCGTCCTCTTTTAAATTCAGCAAACCAATTGAGAACTAGCTCGTGAACAAGCAGTATCACCAAAAGTTGTGGCTAAAAGTTCAAAACAGTTTGCGGATTTAAACCTTTTTTGTAGTCAAACAAATCGTAACAGAAAATCACGTCGAGAGAGCTTCATTGTTGCGAGCAAAATTCCCGCCAGATTGTCTCCGAAAAATAAAAAGTAAATAAAAAAGAATGCGATTTAAAACGTGTTCCATTTTCAAATTTATTAGCAAATAACCTGCCTTTACGACGGTGTTTATCTTGCTAGTATCAAACAAGTGATTAAAAAGTATCTAAGTTGTTTTAGCATGACCCTCGTACGTACTTTAAATTATTTTTTGTGGTAGTGGGCGTTGAATTTTTTTTATCTTGCATAAGTGGGCGGTGAGTCAAATAGTTTGGGAACCTTTGATCCTAAGTAATATTGTAGAACAAAAATTAAATGTGAGTGACACCACTTTTACGCTGATAGCCTCATTTTGAGACTCGGCTCTACAATTAAATTAAATTAAAATACTATAATTCACCTACAACAGTCCCCGTAGCATGGCTACGCATGATAGTCGCGAAGCAAAATTGAAATAAGCGCTATTGGCTGTCTCAATCAGATCTAATTTAGATAGCCAAATAGCGCGCGCTTATTTCAATTTTATCGCGCGCGTTGCGACCATCATGCGTAGCCATGCTAAGGGGGCTGGTTATGCTTCAGAGGGAGTATTTGTTTCGCGTTTATAATATGTTACCATTTTAAAACACATAATAGGCAACGTATTATTACCAATAGTTGAAAAAAAATAATAATTTCTATCTTACTAGGATTATTGCCCTCCGTCCATTTGAATCACCTGCTACGATCCCCTGGGGGCTTTATCTGGATTTTTTATCCACATGGATCCTTTGGGGGATTAATTTGGATTTTTTATCTTGAAATTCGATGTAAATAAATAATAGTCGCAGAGGGTCCGTATAATATGATCCCCATCGACTTATGTATAAAACATATTCTCCAATTTAGAAGGTATTGAACGACAACGAGTATTGCGACGTAGCATTTGGTACGCCACCTTCGTAAATAGGCTTACTTTCTTCAAACATCTCACTTTTGCCACTGGTAGGTAACAATAGTTAAAAACTTACGGGTAAACAATAGCCACAGAAGCGAAAGTAGTGAGGAAGGAGAACGGTATTGATACCAAGTTCCAGGATAATAGTAAGCTTGCGCCACTGTAGAGGCCTTCTTGAGACTCCTGGTAATACCTCGTTCGATATGGACCAACTGTAATTGTCACGTTATTATCACTTTAGAAATACTTTAAATACTAACACTTATGTAAAAAAAGAAAAAAGAGCAATTTTAAAACCAACTCTAATTCTTGAAAAATATAAGTATTTCATTAAAACCATTACGAAATTTATAATTTTTTTTTTATCAGGATCATAGAAATCAGCTAAGACATTATTAAATATTCAAAAGTACGACTTTATAGTAATTTCAACAATGTTCAAAATAGCATGTTTGTAAAGCAGATTGTTTGTATTCTCACATTATACTTACATAAGCAAATAGTATTCATAATGCTGATAAAGTAAGTACCGACCATCGCGTTGAATATTAAACCGCTTTTCGTAATGAATGCCCTTTGGTAATCCTAAAAACAATAACAGTCATTTTTAAATCTTTTCTTTGATTTCGAACTTATTCGGCTCGAAGGACCAATATGTGTCATGTGCTTTTGTTTATGCTCACCTTAGCCTCATTGTAGAACACCCAAAGAATCAGGAAGTACAGTGGCAAGCATAATAACCTCATAAACATTTGTTTCAAGCCATGTTTTTTCAAATTGAAGATAGACGCTAATACACGCCTGTAATGAAAATAATATACGAGTAGGTACATTTTAGTTTCAGTTGGGTATACGTTAAACCAGCTGTCTTAGCAGTAACGCAAATAGACGAATATCGCAAAAATGGAAAAACTTCTCTAGTCTACCGGCTATGGCGCTACGGTAGTAAGGGTATATATAATATGTATATGACATTACTTACAAGTATAACATCCAAATGATTCTCACGCCACCTGGATTCCCATAATTAAGCTGCATTTTATTAGGATTGATAATTCTGCTGTGTTCGTTGAGATGGCCCTGCATGAGGCCCTGGCCTTCCAGCTTAAACTTTTCGACGAGAGCTGCAATCTGGTGGTTCGATTCGATGAAGCGCTCGCGAGATCTGCGGTCTACTGTTGATAGGCACACTGCGGGAAAACAAAATAAATTTTGCACAAAATATGATTCTACTTATACACATGCAAACATATACGTTTCACTGCTGGGTAAAGGTGGCCCAGTGCATGTAGACTACTTCACTTGTCTTCTGAACCTTCTTAGCGGCAGCATGCAGGTACTACATACAAGAGACGCTTTAGTATGAGAATGAGGTTCAGGGACCACCTGAATTCTGTCTACTCTTAATAGTTTTCAAACCAAATCAATCAAATTTTTGAGCAAAACACATTTTCCGTAGATCTGTTCCGCACCTTTGAATCTTTCCATAAAGGTCAAGGTAGGACTCACAGTAATACATCAAGGGGTTCTCGAGCTGCGGGCAGGGAAAGCCGATGCTGGCGAAGTAATCCAGCAAGCTTCGAGTGGGTCCTGCATACACCACGTCGCCAAGGCACAGGTACACAACGCGTTCCAGGAACGGGAACACGTCTGGAAATAAGATTAAAGAGTTGCTGCAACACTTCTAGGTAAATCAAAATACTAAATTCTATTTTAGTCTAAGAAACCTAAATAAAATCTAAGTATTAACACAGTAGAGAACACATAAAGTTAAATCGATTATAAAATTTAAGCACTTTTTATATCTTTCGGACGACTTTCAGAAATACATAGGGCGCACTATAAGTTTCTGGAACTGGCCACTTACATAAACAATTTTTAAAAAGTAATTACAACATAATTTGAAAATGGAACTCTTTGGTTGTAGAATATAGTTGGTTTCATCTGACTGTCACTTGTTTTTACATTGTGGCGTCAGAAATTGGTTGTCTACATCACCATGGATTTAACTTGTGAAAATTTTCGTAGTTTGATTTTCTACGACTTTAAGTGTAATTTAACAGCTCAGCGGAACTTCACTAGGCTTCAAATTGCTTTTGGCGATGAAGCACCATGCAAGACGACTATTTATAGCTGGTTTACCGAATTGAAATGTGGTCGTGTGAAACTCAGTTGCGAATGTCGCGATGGTCGCCCGTCCACTTCTGTGAACAACGAAAGCATCGTTGTTGTGCGCCGTATGATCAAAACAGACAGGCATGTGACATACCATGAGATTCGGGCATCTTTAGACATAGACATGAGTCAAATACAATCAATACTACACAAACATTTGAGTGTGAAAAAGCTGTGCTCTCGGTGGATCCCACACAATTTGACTGAGGCTCAAAAAACGGATCGCGTCACATCGTGCAATGCCATGCTTACCAAATTCGACGAACGAAGGGGCGTCAAATTTGATGTAGGACACTGTGGTAACAGGTGACGAAACATGGATTTATAGTTACGATCCCAAAACAAAGCAGCAATCGAGCGTATGGGTCTTTCGAGATGAGCCGAAACCAACCAAAGTGACGCGCGTTCAAAGTGCCTCTAAGCGGATGATTGCTTCTTTTTTTAATAAAAGTGGACGTAGCTACTGTTGCTTTGGAGAATCGTTGTACCGTGATTGGTACACGACCATTTGTTTGCCGGAAGTTATTGACAAACTCCGTAAAAATAACCGTAAACGCCGCATCATCTTGCACCACGATAATGCCAATTTTCACATGACCAGACAGACAAATGAAGTTTTGAAGGTGACGTTGACCTTATGAGCCATCCCGCGTACAGTCCCGACCTGCCACGTTGTGACTTTTATTTATTTCCAAAAATTAAGAACAAGTTACGCGGTCAACGATTTTCATCACCTGAACATGCTGTCGCAAAGTATGAAAAATATGTTTCAGAGATTATCACGGAGAAGTGGCATAAATGTTTTCAAAATTGGTTCATTCGTATGAAAAAGTGCATTAACGCTAACGGAGAATATTTTGAGAAACAATAAATTCATTTCTGACCGTTTATAGTATTTTTTCTTATTAATTCCGGAAACTTATAGTGCGTCTACGTATATTCATTGCTAATGTAAAAAATACTAAAAATGCTACGCGTTCACTGAAAAATAATAATAAAACGCACACTGAGATTATTTTATAACTAAAAGGGATTTAGACCAAAAACAGAGGTTGGAGGTTTTCAAATATAATCGACGAAGTATAATTAATGATGGTATAAAAAAAAGAATTAAAAATAATTACATCTATTTATTTATAAGTTTATATGTATATGATTATTGTGCTTACTGAATTGAAACGTCGTTATTGTAACTCCTTTTGAAATCTATTTCAATTTTCTCAATTTTGCACAACTCAAGCGTCAGTTATGAAATTTTATTAGAGATCAGCGAGGTATCTTTATATTATACTTACCAGATCGAGGTTTCTCCATTGTAAGTATGATAGCGGTGCCATACTTTTTAGCAGCATTAGACAGTATGGAGATCACCAAATACGTGTTCAAGGGGTCCAAATCCCAAGTTGGTTCATCCAGGAGAAGTATGACTGAAAAGTAGATTGCAATATAATTTTTTTTTATTGTTAGACCCGTTCTGGCAAAGAAAAGTTCTGGAAGGAATTTTTCTTTATGTTTGTTCTATCTTCGTATCAATAATAACTAAAAAGTAGATTTTTTTGTATTTTCTTTAAGAAAGAAGACGCAACGATAGAAAGGTTTAAAAACTATACAGTCGAAAACATCAAAAATTCGGATACGTCTCTCTATGCACAGATCCTTTCTAATGTGAGGCCATAGTACATCACGTTGATCCAAAGGTTGATGACTTCGCACGTTTAGTGAACCTTGTCCGACCTGCAGTTTTCTGGAAATGTTTCCCTTTATAATATGTAACAAAGAGTGTAGTGAACTGTTCATACTTTGGAAAGCCTGAACGATGCTGACTCCCTGGTCAAAATTAAACCAATACCTTCCATATAGCACGCATTCGTTCTCCCAACTGCTATTACTTATTTTTATCTTACTTATTTATATTCTTGCCCTAGGATTCCCACTGGGACAGAAGATATTATCTATTTTCACTTAGCATGATCATGACAAACTTCTCTTGCTTTACTTACATTCATCAATCTTTGAAAGATCCTCTTATTCTTCTCACTACGGACTTCAGCCTTTTTGTTCTCAATTTGGTCTGAGAATTTACTTCTTGGCCGTTCTCTTCCAGTGATGCCTTCCGTATTAGCTCTATATATTTCTTTCGTTAATCTACATTCACACACCTCAACATACCATTTTCTATCTTTATACAGACCTAAAATTAACAGGAAAAACAAACAAATGAATAACTAACTTGGATCTCTGATAAGTTGAACTCCAATGACCAAGCGTCGATATTCGCTTTGAGTTAAATTTGTCACGCATTTGTTAGCCACCTGCAATTCACGGGTTTATTAGCCGGCTTAAAAAAATTTGAGGTAAAACGGATTTGGATGGACGTTGGCTTTTAAAAACACGTTAAACTACTAAGTACCTGTGATAGAGCTAAATCAGCCATGACCTGTTTAACTTTTGACGACTTCAGGTATCCGGATAGCTGTAAAAAAAATTTTGGTTTTTAATTATAATGTGCCACCGAATACGCCAAGCGCGTTGGTACGAGGCCGACCGGACTCGCCCGTGGCGTGAGCTCGCTAGTGTTGCCTTTGAAACACGGGCCGTAAGACGCCACCTACAAGCCGCCACAGGCGCGCTTGAGTGGCCCTTTTTCCATGGTGCGTGGCGCGAGCTCGCGCCTTTGAAGTTACCGACGCACGGTGGATCCAAGAACATTCAACCACGGGCGATCTCAGACGGCCCTGTTCCCACCACGCGCTGGCGCGAGTTCGCGCGGCGCGGCCCGCCTTTATCGATTAACTGAGGTGTACGAAAAGAGCCTCCCCGCGCGACGTACCATTTCTTTCTTTTACTTATACTTCGATTGGCAAATCCTTTCACCACAATGGCAAGCATTATAGTGTATGCCGTCGATAAGAACAATTAGCTGAATCTCTAACTACGCTACTCTCTAACTCTCTAACTACACTACTACGTTGTAAAAAAGAGACAAGACGCAAGACTCGACTCATGAAGACAGAGACTCCACTGCTCGATGTATTACGATACTAACGAGTTTCTGAACAGACTCTAGTTAAACATTAGTGCTCGAGTCTATTTATGTAACGAATCGCGCTCGCGTTCGAGTCTGTTTAAGTAACGAGTCGAGTTCGAGTCTGGTAAGTCCTACAGCATAGGACGTAGCTCAGGTAGCGTAGCGAGAGATACTTTTAAATATAAACTGGGATTATCTTCATAAATAAATATTTATTACGTATTTTACATGTTGTTTTTTGGAGGCTTCTTCTAGAACTGCCAAGATGTTCTTCTTTTTTCTATCCTATTTTTTTAAATACATTCTAAATACAAATCTATATTCATTCAGCTAGTACTTCTACTCATAGAGTAGAGCCTAGACTACAGTACCTACTGAGCGGAGTTGTGGTGTGACGTATTAAACTGTAGTATAATTAAGTATTAAATAATCTTCTTTTTTAAATCACCATATTGGATTTTACTTTTTTATTTAATTCGTGGTCAATAGAAGCTGTTCAATAAAATTGGCCCCTGCTTGTCGTACTCGAGACTTTGTAGAGTAGAAGTCGCTTCGAGTCGAGTTTTGTTCAAAAGGCAAGTTAGGTTTACGCACTTGACTTACTAAACTTAGTTTCACGACTCGAGCTCCTTTTAGACTCTTCAGTTGGTCGTACCAGGAATCGAACCTGAGACCTCCTCATTTAGTACCCACAGTGCTAACCGTTAGGCCAAAGAGTATATCAAATAATTAAACATTTTAGTTTTGGTTATTTAGTTTAGTTTAGTTGCTTGCTTTTTGAAATTGTCATAAACGTCATAACATAAAGCACATAAAGTCTCGTATTAATAAACTTTAAAACAATGATTATACCTTAGTAAGTGAAAGAGCTAAAGTTTGTTGCACACTTAGACCCGGTAGCAGTTTGGTCGAGTGGCGCACCAGAGCGCATGTGGATTTGAACTGCTCTTCTTCAAGAGGAACTCCTTCAAGGAGGATGTGACCCTTGGAGGGTACGCGGCGGGCTATCACGTCCAAGAGGGCGCGTTTGCCGCTACCTGTTGGAAAAACTATTTATTAACATTTGTAAAAAGAAGTATTCCTTTAAAGGACGTGTTGCATACGTTACTTGTTTATATGTACGTGTCTTTTGTTTCTACCTGTAGATTGACGCAAATAATTTATTAGAGACAAGTTTTGTTTTATACTGAATCCACGAATATAGTACAAACAAACTAATGACCTGAAGAAAATTTTATTTACGCATATTGATATGTATATTTAAAAGTACCTTTCGAACCAAGGATGGCTGTGACCTCTCCGCTGTGTGTAGTGAAGGAGACATCTTTGAGGATGATGCCAGTCTTCACGCCACCTGTCAGACGTTGGAAAAAGCTGCCTGGCTCCACCTAAGTACACGGTATTATTAAATGATGTTTACGTATATGTGGTTTTTATAATAGTTATGTCGTACATATACACTCTGGCTTTTGTATATTATACGATGTTCATGTTATCAAATTTTTTGATAACTTGAGGTCAGGCTTGTTGTTGGAGTTCCGTTTTTTGAGCCGTTTAATTTGTTTGCGGACTCATGCGCGCAATTACGATCGAATTTCGGTGGCATTGTGTGCTGTGCACGTGCACAGAGGTGGACAGAGGGATGAGTGAAACATTTATTGGCATGTGGTAGTCTACAAATCGATGTTCACAAAAACGGTCATATAGTATGTGAAACTGCCTAAACTTTAATCTTTACATATTGAGTGGATGTTAATTGAGAGTTCAACGGTTCAAGTGTTTCGGGCAGGATGTGCCAAGGACTTGAATTGAATGTTTAGTATGGATAACGGCGAAGGAAAACATGAACATGAAGGTTGCTGCACTTAAGCAAAAACTAAAACTTTACCTTGAAAATCAACGAATTTATGATTTCAAATATAAATTAATATTCATTTAATTAAAAATCATGGATATCATTTTGGATATAAATACCCGTACAAACACTTGAAAGCAATTGAATTAAATACGTCCGTCTGCCGCCCCAATCGAATTTCAGTCGAACGTAAACTACGAGACAAAAAAGCTTCTAACAACTCACAAAATTACGCTCGTCTGGCTCGCCCTTAGGGTGGGGCCAGATGAGTGTAATCTTGTCCGTTATGAGTCGCGTTTTTTGAGTAGCTACATTTACGCTACTTTCAGATTCAAATAAAAGTCTGATTTGTGCCACACGACGATGCAAAATGAGTTGTCTGCCGACTCAGGGGCGCAATCACAGACGAATATTGGTCGCACTGTGACGTGCTTGTGCGGGTGGAGAGACGGGTGAGGGTAAGAAGGTGAAAGAAACTTTACTTTACGAATTGATGTGGATATTCATATAAACTTTCTTATTATGAATATTATACATTATTAAAGTGTGGGCAACTTTAATCTTTCCATATTGAGTAGGTGTACCTTATTCTAACATCATGTAATGATCCATTACATATATAATGTAATGGATAATATAACACAACGTCGTACGCTTAAAAGACACTTAATAAAATCGTTCGTATGGCGGTCTAACCGAATTTCAGTTGGACATAAACTACGACATACACGTATTGTCATACAAAAGACATCAACGATAGACGGGAAGAAAATTGTATATGCGTTTGCGGTCACTCTTGGGCTAGTGTTCACTGCCTAATTTCCCTGGCGACGTTTAACATTTAAGTGTAACATGCAATAATATTTCACGAGAATATACTCGAATAGTTAAATAATAAAATTTGCCATAGAAATTAAACAGAGAACAGAACACTAACCCAGCAAATGTTTTTTTCTTTTTACTATATTTTCTATGTATTATCGACCAATGCAACTTTGCGTAATTCGATCAAAATAACCCTTTTTATTTTTTATAACCTCCTAAGACTCAACAAACTGTAACGGGAATGTTAAATGCCCAATGCAGAGTCAACAGCACATCAAGCTATCCGAAATCAGAAATATCGGGAAAACAAGAAATCATATCGTGGTAAGAAACCTGTAATTAGCGATGATCATTATACATTTTGTTCGAATATCGCTCCCAGGGCAAAACGGAAAAGGATCCATCAATAGCGGTAGCTTGACGTGTTGCCGCGATTATGTGAGCGTGAGCCGTGATTTGTTTTTTTTTTTTATAATATCATGTGACGGGACGAACAAGTCGTTCGGCTGATGGTAAGCTACACGCCTGTCCATAACAGTTGCGTACCACTCCCGAGCTTTAAATCGCAAAGATTTGAGAGGCATTGCCTGTCACCCTGAGACAAGTAGACAAGTCTCATGTGCCTGTAATTTTACCAGCACACTTCAAAACCGGAACACAGTAATGCTGACATTACTGCATGGCGGCAGAAATAGGTAAAGTGGCAGTACTACCCTGGACAAACTATTTCAGAAAGAGCTCTCCTGCTACATTTTAATATGAAGAGTGTGCTAAATAATTCTTACATGCTTCAGGCCCAAGCAAGTATGCTCTCAGTTTTATTATTTAAAATGCAACCGGAAGGTTTTAGTGTACTAGTACTTTATGGATCAAATAGAATATAGGTAAAGCGCTAAATTTCAATGAGATATTTTCTCTATAATGTACAGATGGCAGCACATCTTCTGATGGGTCTTATTTCGATGTACCGAACGCGACATTCGAACAAAAGTGTATAGATCGACGCGTCGCTGATTGTACATTGCGCGTTTACGTGATCATACGAATAATATTGTATTCGTCTGAATCATTTCACATATTATGTACATACCTTTTGATATTCATGACATGAGGCCTATATATGTGTGTTCTTGATTGTCAATTAGTAAGTTTACAACACACACTTCATATACAAAACCATCAAAACAGATATCATATTTTTGCTAAATCAAAATACCCGTGAAGATTGTAATTTACAAACCAGTACCATCTACACACAAACAAATGCAAAGTATGTAAGTACACAATTATAATGTCGCTCACCTGCCCGGAATGGTAAACATTACACAGTTCCAAAGTATAGTCGCCTCCAATCATTTTTACCTTTAAAAATGCTTTAAACTTTTAAAAATAAAACTAAACACATTTAAATTCCATCTCCGAGAAACACACTCTCCCCTTTCGAAGAAATCAGCAAACTAACATTACGTGGTTAACTTCAAACTGAACGGAGAGTTGAGCACCGTTGCCAGACTTATCTGTGCCTAAGTTCATATAAGTGTTGGTCTGATTTACGAAAAGTGATTGTTTTTTTTAAACTTTAGTATTTATGTCATTGGGACAAGGTCCAATTTTCAGTTTACATGTACAAAAGTGCATTTAAGGCCAAGTCACTACATGGTTTAGCATGAGCTTCGTGTTACAATAACCATATTACTGTCCACTGTTTGGCAATGGCCTCATTTGTAACCTACAGGCTAGCCTACTACATCTACTACAGAGTTTTTTAATATTTCTAAAAACAAAACTTTCAAAAGTAACTGGATCAAATTTTTAGAATTTGTATTTTATTGTAAATTATGTGTAATTGTTTCGATCACGTGTCGATCTTTATTCGTGCAACTACATAGTTCAATTTTTTTATACTGAATATAAAAACTTCTTTAAAAGCAGTCGATTCGCCTTAACATCGAAAGCCTAATTTTCCATAATTTTCAGAGCGTCGTTGCCGTTCCTCGTTCCTCCAAAGGCTTGCTTCAACGCTTACTCTTTCCCTCACATTATAAACTTTCATTTAAATATGAAACACCTTCATGGTCCCACCATTCCTACGTACCTGCTTCACAAATATCTCTCATCTCTTTCAAACATTTAGCGTCGAATGAGCCTAGAATGGGAGACTAGATGTGCGCAGTGTCACTGACTCAGTTCAGCATAGTACGTCCATGACAGTCCGCTAGTGCGCGAACTAACAGCCAAGTTTCAAATATTCCGAACTTGTGAACGAAACAAACGAAAATCGAATGACATAAAATCTTAACAAAAATCGAATAGATGATTGGGTGTTTTTTAGTGTAAATTATTATTTGTTAAATTTAGTGTAGTGTTTTGTTGATAGTGTGATTTGGAGTGCCGTAGTTTGGAATCCCGTTGGCCGGTGTATTATCAAGTAAGTTGACACTGGAACGAGTTCTTGTATTTGTGTAGGTGTTATGAGATTTAGATTAGGCATTTATATGTACCGGAAGTTAATATTAACGTTAGAGTTACATTTTGTAGACATTCTGCATGTACACTTGCAGTAATTACGAATTATTATGTACAATGAATACACAATGTAGGTATAAATAACACACTGTATTCTTGAAAAAAATTTTCCTGTAAACTCAGCATGTTATCCCGTACCAAATTTGGTAGTCGTTAAATAAAAAACTTCATTTAAATGTCTGTTTAAGTCAACCGTAAACTTAAATCACTAATGATATTATGCTGCAAGAATTTAACAAAAGAAGCTTCAGTGGCGGGAGATCATTGACACCTACTATAAAGTACCTACCTACTTACCTAGTTTAGAAATGTAAAAAAGAATACTGTATCTCGGATCGAGATATTTTGTTCTATTTTTAATGTTCATGCGGTCAGTTTTCCGTTTCCAAACTGCACATCGTTACGAGACCGTGTAAAATATAAAATAGAATATTTTTTTACCAGTGTATCGTTGTGAGAATTTAAGTAATTGCCGGTTACTTACAAAATTATTCAATGTATCAATTCAATACCTTCATTACCATATTCCATTTTTCAAAATTAAAAAATCCCACTTCTGATAATCGTTATTTGCCGACGTTGTTCCATTCTGGATGCTATTATCAATTATACACCTTAAAATTGTTTCAAAGAATCGTCGAACTATGTAATGCGAAATGAGTCAGCAACGGAAGAAGCGAGGCTTGACCTCTCAGAGGTAAACCCTGTATCTGCACACGTGAGTCCATGACCGGAGTGACTTTTTACCTCCTGTTTTTAACATTGGTGTAGGTAGAGGTCACAATAAACAACCAATATGAATAATTGAAAACTAAACTTTATTCTGTTCCACGATTTCAATTTGCAGCAAATTACTTTAGCCTAGAGCCTAGAGAGTCTGTTATCACTATGATTATTGATGTCTATATGTGTTCGGTTATAATGTTATATAGCAAACCGGCTTTATTCTTGTATGTATATAACACTGATACAACTCGAAAGTGACAAGTAACAAATTTGAAAATATATACCCCATCGATCGGCCGTGAAAAACGCCATTAGATAAATTTAAACCGTGGGTGGTATCATTACCATAATTTTTCATCTTATTAAAGGAAAATTAGGTAAGTTTCTGCAAGCTCTCAAAACAAAGCCCATAAAATGATGATTTTCGACTTGTGACTCTGTTGAAACTAGTGTGCGATAAAATAACGTACTTATAACTAAAGAGATATAATAATGTTCATCCCGAAAAAATCCTCTTCTGAAAAACTTCCTCCGTGGCCGAACGATTACCATGCCAAACTGCCACACAGAGGTCCCGAGTTGGATTCCCGGGACGGGAGAAATATTTGTATGGCCTATATTTATTTCTCTCGTGAGTTTGGGTGTAATTTGTGATTGTCTATGTGTGTGTTCATGGTACCCGTGACACAGGGTTTACCTAATGCGGGGCTATGTTGAGTGTGTACATGTGTGTGTTTGTGTGCTTTTCCAAAAAGGTAGGTACTACATCAAAATCTTTAAACACTCGTTCGGCTTTTGCGGAATTACCATGAAATTTCCATAATACATATCAGTAAAGCATCGACACAGGGCGAAAGGCTTATAATCTGCAAGAATTTGTATTAAGTCAATCGTATAACTCAAAATCAGATACACATACTGCCTTTATAGTACATAGCGTCTATATATATACGGAATTTCATTGTATTCGCAATTCATTACATTGAACATTCAACAGCTGATTTATTAGTCCATTTCTGTACAGTTATAAATCAGTATTGCAAAGGAATTCTTCAAATAAGGTACGCACTAACGAACACTGAATCATAAACATTCGACAACTGTTGCAGAATTTTCCTAGACCAGTCATCCGCATTCTATTCCAAAAACGATGTAAATGAAACCTGTATAAGGCATTAGTAACAAAGAAAACGAGACTATAAATCTTAGAAACTTGAAAAGAGTTAATTCCACTGTAGGTACGAATCAAAGCGAACTGGCAGGAAATGTACAGTCATTGCTAAGAAACAAGAATTCCAATAAAATTTCAAATAGAACTTTAAAGGTTACTTTAATGACAGTAATTGATTGTATCCCGATACTTTAACTATTACGTATTGTACTTAAAGGCATACTTGTTCCGTAGAGCATTTAATATCAAGCTCGTGGATTTTAAAGCGATACTGTACGATTGGAAATTTAAAATGTTTTCCGGATGTAAGTCGCAAAAATTCATTTCTTCCAAACGAACCAACTTTTCGGGCTTTCTGCGGTCACGACTTACTAACAGAAATACGTGCTTTAGATCTTTTCTTTTAGATATAGATTTATAGAAGTTTCATTTCAAGTGAAGCAGTCGTGAAATCCTAAGAACTCGATTTTCTCTTTATCATAAGTACAGTAAAACGTGAGAGTCCTGTGAATATATTAAGTTTTTAATTAAAATACGCTTCTTAGTAATAATAATTGTTTATTTCCAGACAAAAATCCCATTTTACATATACAATGTAGCATAATATAACAATAATGATTACAAGAATAAAACATAGGAGTAAAATAAAATAAAATAAGGTATGACCCATACAGGTCATTGTCTAATCTATTTCCTGTTAACGACGCGGTGGATGGAACGCCATTACTTACAAATTGGACCAGACATATACATATGTGGAAATAGCTCTCAGTCATATCAGAACAACGCAATCTGTCCCAAAAGGAAGCAATACGAACCCTGACAACAGCAAAAACGTCATGTAATCCCTCCTCGGCGAAAATTAATGGTATACATAAACCGCTAAACATTTGGACGGTCTCTCTGATGAAAACATGTAATCGCCGCGCATACGTATTTGCGATAGTAAAGTTGTATCCTTAATATCAAGAATGCGTTATCCAATGTGAAAAAGGAGACATCCTTCCCACCCGTAACACAAATGTAAAGCTTTGCAGTAGAAAAATTATATTTAAGAATCTACAACAACGAAATCTGTTACATAAATTAAACTAAGTACTTCGGTAACTAAATGCATCCCTACAATTTGACCTTAAATAAACCGCAAGCTTCAAGTTAAACTCTAAACATAAGTTATTTGGGCTTCACCTTATCCTAAAATCACGCTCCAGTTGCGAAAATAGCTGTGGTTATAAAATCTAATTAATTCTAAGTCTCGACTGTATACCGTGACGCGTATGTTATAAGCATTCATTTTAAGATAGGCGTCTAAAGAATGCCAGTTGGATTATTAGGAAGTCCACGATTGTCAAAGTAACGCTTAGTTAAAAGGCTTAGTTGGCATAGCGTCTGACACGGTTTGCTAGACGATGTCGGTTCGAATCCGGCCGGATCGAAGAATATTTATTCTAAGTGTTCGATCTTTGTATTAATAATTATAGCAAACTAGTGGAGTAATTTGACAAAAAATAATTGAACATCAATTCAATAAAAATTTAACTGTATTAAACATGTTTATGGCTATTTTTTTTTGCTAAACTTGTTTATAAATATAAGTAGGATCACCAGTTGAATGCATATGATTAAAATAGTGTTGGTGTTTTTGTTGCAGCCTGCATATTTCAATTCAATAAAACAATACTATGGTTCCGAGTTGTAAATGTTGTTTTAAGACAAAAATGATTCATTCAACTCTTGTTTTAATCTTTTCAAACTGTGTCATGAAATAATGAGGCACTGATACTGAAATCCGACCAGGTTGATAAATAATATAATTCTACTCTAATTGTACCTATTAACTGCGAGCACGTACATAGCATAGACATGCTTATTTCTTGGTAAGTTGAACGCCATACCTACTTCAAATTCTTGGAACGTCCCGGTCCACCTGCCCGCGTTGGCTACATGTGCATTGACTATTTTGGACCACACAACGTGATTCATGATTTCTTTTCTAAATTGTTTGTACTGACTTTTCAGTAAACACGAATATAACTGGTGAACAGAGACATAAAATTTATGTTAAATATTACCCCTCATGGAAGAATGGCATAAGTGGAATTACGTCAAACATGTTTATTGCTTCATTAGGTACAGAAAAATGTAACCCACATCCTCTCCAATTGGAGATTAGATACAGAAAAATATAACCCACATTCCCTAAAATTGGAGACGACGTGGGTTATATTTTTCTGTGTCTAATGGAGCAATAAACAAGTTTGACGTAATCCCACTTATACCATTCTTCCATGAGGGGTGTTATAAGAAGCTTACGCTTCAGTTATGTTGGTAAAGTGTTACACATTTTGGTGACTGAAATGGGCTACCTGAATCTGACTATAAATTTTTAGATAGAAAAATATGTGGACCTCGCCGTGTAGATCACGTTCTTGTTAGTATATCGGTCTGTTGGTATAATAAAGCCTCATGTGGTAATACGTCAAAAGTGCTTATAATGAAAGTGTTAAAAATATTACTGACTAATACCAAATAATGTGTAATTTTAGATCTCCTATTTAAGTAATTTTGGCACATGGGACTTGTCAACTTATGTTGTCAATGTAAAAACAGGTTGAAGGCATTTTTCGTCAAACAATACTCTGGTACTGTTTGATAAGAAAATGTCATCAAGTATTAATATTATTGGTTATTGTTGTTAGTAGTAGTATCAGTTAGGCATAATTTATATTGCGGTAGAACGGAATGGAAGCGAATTTTTGTAACGATATTGTTCATAGCATAATGAAGCCAAAATCTTCCGCGGAATTCTCAAGCATTCGCGAGAAGAAAAGATTTTGGTTCGTATTTAATTTGTACATTACACAATTGACCACAAAGTTCATTATGCTATGACAATAGGGCTACGAAAATTCGCTTCCATTCCGTTCCGCCGCAATATAAATTGAGCCTGAATGTAATGAAAATTTAAAATATTATTATTGGTAGTAAGAATTATTATAATTTCT